CTGCTAGTCGTTCTCACTCCTAGCAGCTGCAGAGAGTTGTGCCTTACTTTGGCTCAAGACCGGACTAGCGTATCGCGTGAGTAAAACGAAGGCTCTGTCCGAGCGTTGTGAACAGCAGTGCTTTGCCAAGGGTTTAGTTGAACTCCCGACTGTCGTTCGGTCTTTTTCGATCACTGTCGGCCGCGTCACATGCTCCATCATGCCCAAGCTCTCAGAAGAAGCTCCATCTAGTCAAGAAGACTCTTGGCTTCTAGATGCATCAGAGCTTAAGAAAACATTGGAGGCTCGTCCCAGAGGAATGAGCCAGAGATCCGCGCTGAGCAGACTGTCCCCCAGAGCCCGTTTCGGACTTGTTTGTTTCACTTGTTGCATTCGATGCATAAGTTGGAGGCTTTGAGAGGTTTCCAGAATTTTTCTGCTGTCCACCTTTCCATTTCGTTGTCACCACTCTTGCAGCAAGAGCGCATCTGAGAGATCGAACAACACGATCCTAGCAGAAATTCCTGACTACTGGCACTGCAATTCATGGGCGGGCCGCAAAGACTCAGTCGGACATTCAACACAGTGTAAAGTAAAGCATGCTACATCTTTTTTGACACAAACCAAACTTAGACTCGTCGCAGCTAACAGTGCATGTGCTATCAGGCTCTTCGAAGCGGTGTGCGGTGCAACTCGACTTTTTTGAAGAGACGGCAAAATTGCCGGGAGTGCGAAACTCCAGGTATTGAAGACCTGCTGCAATCCCGACGCCAGGCGACAGACTTTCTGCGCTGCGTGGAATGCTCAATGCTATTACTGCTACTACTGCTACACTACTACTACTACTACTACTACTACTCCTGCTGCTACTACTACTACTACTGCTGCTACTACTGGTACTACTACTACTACTACTACTACTACCAGCAGAGCGTTGCCGACTACGCTTGTCCAAGCAAGGTTCCGGAAGCTCGAGCTTGCAAATTGTGGTGGGGCATTGCGAAAGTACAGTGAATACTGAGTACAATGCATGTTCACACGACATGGTGATTACACCCCCCATCCTAACCTTCCGAAATCCGAAGGTTCGACTTTGCAAAGTCGACGAGTGAATTAAAGCAGCGAGAGATGTTCCTTGAACACTATTTCTATTTTTCCCCAACACCGTGCATACAAAACACATGCAAAATTGATGTATGTTTTCATCCAGTCTGTATCATTCGAAAATATGTATATATATATATAGATAGGTATGCATACACATACATATAAACGTTCCGAATCGATAGAGAGTCCAATCACATATGTTTCGTATTGAAAACAGCTCAATAACCATCGTTCACGCTCGGGCCACTTTTTTTTCCAGGAGCGAACACGAAGTTAAGGGGTGATGAACGACTAAATTGGCATACCGCGGTTGCGGACAAAGATCCGAAACAGTACATTGGAAGCCGTATTCATTGGAAGTAGTATTCACACGTTCAAACCACGGCATGACGCAGCCATCGTCAAACAAGTTGTGGGTTCCCGCCACAATGCGGTTACCAGCGTCCTTATCGCTACGGCCGTTGATCATCGAGTTCAGCGCCCCTCGTCCCTCGTTGTCAGCAAAAACAATGAGATGGCAATGCCTGAGCAGTCGTGTCCAGACGAACGTGCCACACCAAATGGCAAAGCACTCCAATTCGTCGCTCCCAGCAGTGTTCAAAGCGCTCAAGGCGGGCTGATCAGGATACTCACTGATATGCCCCTATGTATGAGCCCTCTCCGAAATCACACCAATGCCAGCTCGTGAATCGTCGTTGGACGCATCGACGTAAAAATTCCAAGTGAAGCACGATCCGTCCGCTATGGCGTATAAACAACATAGGGTACCGAATCCTATGTTGCCACCTTTTTTCACGCGTTTTGAAAGCTCTTTGAATGCCAATCCAGCCTTCTTCCCACAAATCTGCTGCTCAGCGAATTGCAATCTGCCACGTAGCCGCTCGTCGTCCTTACGACTCAGGAAAGACATCTCCAAGAGTGGCGACCAACCAACTCGTCACGTCGGTTATCCGTGTTCTCAATCTGGATGCCACCAATGTCAGACTCGGACTCGTTGATTTTCAATTCAAGCACTTTTGCATGCAATAGAATCGAAAGCAGATGCTTTATCCGAAGAAGCAGCCCAACCCAGAATCAAGAAGAGGCCATCAGCGCAAAGCTCGCAGAGCTTGGATGTGTTCCAGAGCCCACATATTCTCTCCACTGGAGCAGAAACAGGCTCACTCCCATCACCCATATCCCCGATGACGTGTGGACACTGGATCGTGTACCGAAAGGCAAAACCAATTGGTCGTATGTCTCAGTCTGCGTTGTATGCGGATTCCAGACAGCCACATAAGCATCAGGCACAGATTCAGGGTGCAACTCCAAATTTCTGTATGCCTTTGAAAGATTCCACGCTCTGGAAACCAGTAGTAGCAAGTAGTACTAAGTGGAAGTAAATAGTAGTAAGCAGGAGTAAGACAAAGTAGCAAATAGTAGGAAGTAGTGGTAAGTAGTGGTTGTAGTAGTGGAGTCAGTAGATGTAGCAGCAGCAGCAGCGGCAGCAGCAGCAGCAGCAGCAGCAGGAGTAGTAGTAGTAGTAGTAGTAGTAGTAGTAGGAGGAGGAGGAGGAGGTATTAAGTGTGGTTTCATGTTTTTTCGCACCAGCTCTTGGCATTGCCAGCTTCTATGCTGCCTTTTGCCCCAGAAAGAAACGCCCTCTTAGATTCAGCGCCCTTCAGCACAGGACATCCGTTGATTGCTGTGCGGCGGATGTGTTCACAGTTTCGGAGGATGCGCAAGCTTTTGATGTTGCGATGGTAACTTCAGTAGAAGGATGGCTATGACACCTGAGTATGACTACTTGTTCAAGTTGCTCTTGATTGGCCAGAGCCCCGGGTCTTGTCAAAGACCTTGTGTTCGCCCAGAGATTGCACTTGCAGTGCGCAGCCTGATAGCAGGTGATTCGGGTGTTGGCAAATCTTGCCTGCTACTGCGTTTTGCAGATGACACCTACACAGAGAGTTACATTAGTCATCCGGCCGCGGTTTTGACACGTAGTTTGATTTATTTTTCTTTTCGGAGCATGTGCATTGATGAAGCCAAGAGTTTGCTCGTTTTTACGAAATCTTGGTTTGCCAGGTACGATCGGCGTGGACTTCAAGATTCGCACCCTCGATTTGGAGGGCAAGACAGTAAAGTTGCAGATCTGGGATACGGCCGGGCAGGCCGGGCAGGATGGTCTCTGCACGTTTGGAAGACGATAGATTCCACAGATGTGGATCAACCGGACCCACAGCACGGCCTGCTAGGAGCGCTTTCGGACGATCACGAGCAGCTACTACAGGGGTGCTCATGGCATCATCGTGGTTTATGATGTCACAGACAAGGTCGGATGCACAGAATGTGCAGCAGTTGAAACTACCGTGTGCTTCTTCCTGGTCGACGATTTGCACCGATGTGAATTGCCGGTGAGTGAGGAGTCTTTCAACAATGTCAAGCATTGGATGCAGGCTGCTTGGGATGAAGACTGAAAAGGCTCGCAAGTCGGCTCGTGTTGGGGCTCTTGACCAGGAGATTGACAAATACGCGGCCGATGGTGTGAACAAGCTGTTGGTTGGCAACAAGTCCGGCCTGCATCAAAGCTGTGCATAGCTGTTTGGAGCTGCTTGCTTGCCAGGTGTGATCTTTCGTCGAAGAAGGTGGTCTCTTACGATGAAGCGAAAGAGCTTGCAGATTCCCTCGGGGCCGCCTGGCCGCTCAGTAGGAGAGTGACTGGGAGTTACTGTGACTCCTGGCACTTCTGGTGCTCATCTAGGGTGTGTGTTCTCCTCTTGTTGCCCTCATCGTGTCTTCGTTCTGTTCTGTGTTGGTGCACCGCATTGCATGATAGCCTGCCACTGGTCATGCCAATCAAGGTTCAGTTTATGGAGACCAGTGCAAAGAACGCGCGCAATGTGGAGCAGGCGGCTTGCACGAGACGTTGCAACAGTCTTTGTTGCATCAGTATGATCTTGTGGAGGCTTTTCAAAGCATGGCCGGCGAGATCAAGTGGCTTGGTTTGCAGACTGTGCACATGCCGTTGAATCGATCGGACACGATACAGCAGTTCGCACCCTGCGGAACTAACCAAATGCTGCAGCCTGCCTTGCATGGACTTCGAAGAATCTCAGGGCGCCCAACTCGAAAGGTTTGGGAGAACTTCATCTCTGAATTTGGGGCAAACTTAGGCCTCCAAAAACACTAGGCCTGTAGACGTCCAGCTTCTCCAAGGAGTCGTGTTGCATCCCAGCCTCAACCCGCACGCGGAACTGGGGGCACAACTTTGGGCCCTGGTACGAGGGTCCGCGGCTGAGTGAGGCCGCTTTGTTTCTTGGAAAATGGCGCAGTGTTATTCCAGCATTCGTCCACGAAGACGAACGTTTAGGCGGCAGATTTCAGGCTTTCGATTTCCGCTATCAGGAGTAGGTTTGGGAGTGCAGCACATGCTCGCAAGATTCTTGCGGAAGGGGCCCGCTTAGGGCATCGCACCTTGTTCTCGCACATTTGTGCCATGCTGCCAACTGCCCCGCGATTCCAGATGTCGTTCTTCAAGCGCCATGCGCGATTCACTAGTGATATTGCCGAACAGGTCAGACATGCTGATGATCGATAGTATAAGGTCAACAACGGTGGATGTTGCAAGTGATTGCACCTCGCCTCTGCCGGGAGACTACAGGCACGCAGCTGCGCGTTTTGTTCGGCTGCCTGTCCTATCCGTTTGTTGTCCTCGGGCCAGATCCTGGACGACGCCAGAGACATATCCACCAATCCGTGAGTCGGCATTGTCACTTCTGCTTGAGCGTGATGAGCCTGCATGATTGAAGTGCCGCCTCCTCTAGCATGTTTGACAGTGTTCGAGTGCATTCGGTCAGCCCGTCATCAGTCTGCCTAGGGAGGTGCTGCTCTTGGGCAGGAACTGAACTTGCTGCTTGCAGCTCTTGGTGAGTTTGTAGCTGCCCGTGCATTCTTAATGCCACAAAAACTTCATGCACGAATGGGCCGTGCGACGAATTGCGCGCATGCCCACACAGATGCTGAAGGCTGTGTTTTGCTACCCTCCGCTTCAGACAAGAGAGGGCATCTGTGCAGGCCTGCAACCTCATGTCCTCAAAGGGGAGACCCAAAAGACTGCGGCTGCATTTTCAAGCTTGTGCCAGATCCTGCCTGCTCTCGAAAGCTGAAAACCGCAGGTCTTTTAGAACACATGACATCCCATGAACAGGGCCATGAACATAGGCAGGATTTTTGCCGGCTCGAATACGCAGCATACACGCCGTCCGTATGGCCAGATCGCAGACAGACAGTCACATTCACCGTGCATCTGAACCCAAGCTGGGGCGAGTGCCTGAAGCATCGTGATGCCAATGCGGCGTCGCTCCCAGCGCTGATGCTGTCCGTGCAGGGTGAGTCCCTGGTCGGGCGGCTTGTGAATGTCACAGGAAAATACTGTCCCCTGCTCGTGGAGTGCTGTTGGAGAGATCGCACACCTAGTGAAAGGAGACCATGAAGTTGTGGAGGGAGCAGTGGCCGGGGAGGTTCCGGTCTTGGTGTCTTCGACCGGAGCGAAGGAGCCGTGCAGTCTCCTGCCTGCTGAGGCTTCCATAAAGGGGCAAGTTGTGGGCTGGGCTCCTGAGGACAGAGCCGCGGTTGAAGTCCTTGTTGACGAGTTCAACTTGGCAGTAGGGTTTGTTTGCCCTGAGGAGCAGTGCTGCATGGTGAAGCCCTTACCGAACCAAGTTGTGAATCTTGTTGCCTGCTAGGCTGCTAGGTCTGCTGGAAAGGAAAGGTTCATTGCAGACCTCCTGACTATGTTTGCTCCGTTTCATTTCAGGTTCGCAGCTTTGGTGGCGCCCTTCTCCGGGTTCAGTCAGCATCACTGGCAGAGATGGAGGTCAGCCAAGGGAGTTGCATGTTGAATCGTCGCACGCTGTGGAGTTCTTGTGCTTATGCACCGCAGGAGGAGTTTGATGTGCTCTGGCCGGAGGGTGACAATCTGCGATTGCTGGGCAAGGACGTGTGTGACCGGTGAGTAGTGTTGCCGGCATTCGGAGCTCGCCCTAACAAAGGAGGTTGCGGAATGCCTTGCGAAGAAGATGCACTGCCTGGTGCAGTGCTTCACGTCCTACGAGGCAGCGAAGACTTCAACGACACTTTTCGGGAAAACAGATGCTGGGAGTGCCTGGCAGATGTCAGGTTGGCCTTCGAGCCACGGAGATGGCGAGAAAACGACTTGGCTGGAAGCGCTTTCCCAAGGACCTTGTCCTCCCCTGAAACCTCCCCTTTCGCAGCTCTGTCCTCTTCGAAGGAGTTGGAGCCTTCTTACCTGGGACAGAGTGCTCAGGGTAAGATCTTGTGGCTCCCGGCCGATGATCCCCGCCGAGAGGCGAGTGTCGCGGGGTGCCTTTCTTTGTGCTTCGCAAAAAGCCTGGCCGGCAAAGGTGCAGTCGCCGCTGGAATCCTGTGACAGGTTGCCGCTTTCCAAGGGGGACCAGAGATGACCAGAGCGTCTTGGCAGGGTCCCAGAGCAGGGGCGTTGACTTCCAAGCGCCAAGGCTGTCAAAGCTCGCCTCCGGCCTCTACGTGGCTTCTGGGCAGTGCAATCTTTGAGTATGACGGCCAGACCCGGTAGAAGAGGTATAGATCTCCGACATGAGGGTTGTTCTGAAACTGCTTTCAAAGGAGCATTTCCTGTAAGGTGCTAAGTGTTTCGAGCTGTGCATGAGCAGTTGTCTGTACATGATCAATCCTCATGCGGTCAGTTTATAGATCACGCCCATACTTCCTGCAGCCCTAAACCCCAAACTAGAGGAATGCCAAGACACGCTGGGTTTCCTGCCGGACGGACGCTCCGACACGCTGATGTGGCTGCCACCGAAGAGCCAGAAAGAGGAAGAGGCTGGGAAGTTCAGGGTTTAGGAAGTGCAACAGACCAGCATGAGGCTTCCTTTCAAAGGAACCGGGTCCTGTGAGGCTAACTTGCGGCAGCAAGAGAGGCTCACCGAGGAGCACGTCAGGGACGGCCAGATCGAGGTCCAATCCTTCTTGGACCCCTGTGTCGTAGCCCATCAGCACTCGTGTCAGGGCCACATTGACTTCGTTCAGTCGCGCAAGGTGTGTGCTCTCTACCAGGCCCTCAACTTGCATCGGAGTCCTGTTCGCTTGTGACAAACCGGACGTGCAGGTAGCTGGCAGTGCCAACGTTGTGCTGCACAGCGCCGAAGGTGTCCCTGCTTCGAACTCAAAGGTCTGATAATTTGCGTTGTGCTGATTATTTATTCTCCCCACCCAGGTTCATGTAGCTCTTCGAAGTGGACAAGTTTTGGTATTCCGGCACGACCTTTTGACCTTCTCCCATGAAGGCAGTCATTGGCTCATGCCGCCGGCTGTGGCTTACATGATCCATTCATTTCCTGTCGGAGGCGACAAAGACTCCTTTGCAATGCTGACGTGGATTTTCTCGACAGGCTTCTGGGCACCTGGCACGGCATTGCACTGTCGTCTTAACCTTTGCCTTGCTGAGGTTATGCCGCGGAGGTGCAGCAGCTGGCCGGGATCATCGGGAAGGAGGCTTGCGAGTCCTCGTGCGTAAGCGCCGTGTTGGAAACATGCTGCGCCAGGCTGATGTGGCCTCAGGCGTGATCAGTGGTCCACTGTCTCCGGTGAACCCTTTGACTGGCAAGACAGTGAGCGTAATGTCTGCGGACTGCATGTTGGCAGGACCCCAGCTCAGATGGCACGCTTGATGTGTGAGTGAGCTTACATTAGCGTTTTCGACATGCTTGTGTGTCAGGAAACGGTGTCTCCCCGAGAGAGTGCCGAAGATGCACCAATGTCCTTTTCTGCACAGACGCTTTTGGGGCCAGCTTGCTTCATCCCCAGGCTAGGTCGCAGGATAACATCTCGGCCAGACCAGATCTCAAGCGCGTGCATCTGTAGCTTATAACAGGTATAATTGTCTGGACATGTCCCTTTTCGTAAATATGAAGACATGAATATGTGAATCTCTGTATATTTGTATTTGTGTTGTATTTGTGTGTGTATATGCATATGTGAGTTCGCATATACAGATGCATATGTACATATATATACATATAGATATATATCTATGTGTACACGAGTATATGTCTGTTTCCTCTGTCTGTCTGTCTGTCTGTCTGTCTGTCTGTCTGTCTGTCTGTCTGTCGGTCTGTATGCATGTATGTATGTATGTATGTATGTATGTATGTATGTATATATGTATGCATGTATGTATGTATGTATGTATGTATGTATGTATGTATGTATGTGTGTATGTATGTGTGTATGTATGTGTGCATATGTGTTTATGTGTATAGGTGTAGATGTGTATAAGAGTACATGTATGTACGGGTCTATTGGAGGCATAAAGGACAAAGGTATATAGGTTTATATGTATATCGGTATCTTCGAAACTTCGTACATATAAACAGAAAAGTAAGTGTATATATGTATATATACATGGTATATATATGTATCTCATAATATATTTGTACCTATACGTATATATATATATACATACATACACACACAAACATTGTTTTGCATGCACGCATGTGCGTACCCAAGTGCCGACCTGTCCTTGCATGTTTGCAAGACAAGTGAGTGGACGAAGATACTGATTTCCCCTCCCCCTGCACACGCACTTGTTTGCGTGTACATTTGATAAATGGTTATGCAAGCGGATAGATTCGATTGTTCTCTGTCTGTCCAGATACACATACGCACCTAGGCACGGCATGTGCTATTCTGCATCGTGTTCACGTGCGATGCATCGCAGGTCCAATGTAGATTCAACAACACATGAGCAGACTAGCAGAGCACAGTATACAAACAAACCAGTGCATGGACAAGCATCATACCCTGTCGCAAGCATCAACACAGGTAAACCAATACGAAGCAACAGACAAGTAGATGAATAGCTTCAGAAGATGAAAAGATGCTTCACGGAAAGTGCGTATAGACAGTTGGAACACACAGGCATACCCATGTTGAATTCAGATCAGGTGTGCAAGTAGCTCTTTTCGGCATACAAGTGTGTATACAGACACCAAACCAGGGAGCAACCCTGCAGCGACAGATGCAGCTGTAGAGCAAGGGAAGACGATCTTCTGCCGCACCGTTGAAACTCCTCGGGGCTCGGGCTAAGCCGAGGTACTGGCAAATGCTGGTCATGGGGACTGACGGCTGCCGCCATCTTTCACCCGTGCGGTGGGACCCAGAAGCGTACTTTGAGCCGGACAAGGACAGCGGGGGTTATTCAAGGCAGCGGCCGCGTGTGCTCTGAGCAGTTCAGGACATTGCCTTTGGACTCATGGCTGCAACAGACAAGCCTCGTTTCTAGATGTCCGTCCTGAATAATTTGAAGCAGAGAGCTCCGACGAGGCAAGTACTACTCCAACCATGGCGGTTTCGTTGTAGAAGAGTACCTCCTGGGCTTTGATGCCGCCTTCTTCGGCTTCACGGATGAGCAGGACTTCTATCATCATGTGTGGACTCGGTAATCTTTTGACGTTTTGTGCTTCAACGAGGCCTCTATGTTGGATCCAATCTCACGCAACACCCTCGAAGTGGGCTGCTCTTGTGCAACCAGCTGACGATAGTCGTGGTGATGGTGGCGATAAGAGTGGTGAGCATGACGGTAGCGACAATGAGGCTTATGATGGCGATGATGGTGTTGGCGGAGCTGGTGAGAAATCATGACGATAGCTGTCATTTTGGTTGTTATTATGTTGATTTCGGATAGGAGTCCTTGTTTTGGATCAGTTTGGTGTACGCTGTTTTTCTTTTTGCTGCGTCCCTCCCCTTGCGCTTTTCAGCTTCTCGGCCTGCTCTGCTTTTCTGCTATTTTATCGCGTTTCCGCCCTTCTGGTCTTGTCCTGCTCCGCTTTTTCTGCATCGTCGGGTTAGCGGATCTCAGAAAGCAATGAAAGGAAGGAAGGAAGCAATTCAGGAAGGAAGAGAAAGATGATGAACGTGTGAATCAACTAAAGCAGAGGGGGCCAGTAGCAGTAATACAGCAGTAACGTACAGTAGTAATGCGGTAGTAGTACAGCAGTAGTACAGCAGTAGTACTGTAGTGGTACGGCAGTAGCACGGTCAGTAGGTAGTACAGTAGTACAATCGTAGTCCATTAATAGGTCAGTAGTGGTACAGTAGCAGTACAGCAGTAGTTGCGAAGCAGCGCAGCAGTGGTGTAATCGTAGCTCAAGAGTACAGTAGCAGCACAGTAGTTGTACAGTAGTAGTAGAGTAGTAATACATTACTACAAGAGTCTTATGGTAGAGGTACTGCAGTAGTGGTGGTAATAGTAGTAGTAGTAGTAGTAGTAGTAGTAGTAGTAGGGGGGGAGGAGGAGTGGTCGTAGAGTAGCACGGTAGGAGTACATAGAGTAATATTAGTAGTACAGTAGTAGTACGGTAGGAGGCTTTAGGGGGTAACTAGAGCTGTTGGGGGGTTTGTGGGGCACCAACACCTCGCAACCACGCCCCGATCACTTCAAGATAAATGCAAGGATTCAAATCCCTTCATGTTGAAGACTGTTGCTTCATCCTATGCTCGCCGCCACAATCGACCAAGCCTGAGGCACGGTAAAGTAATACAGTAGTAGTAAACTAGTACAGCTGTAGGGTCTAGGCATGAAGGAGCTGTGTAGGGGGGTTTAGCGGGCAAAGCCTCGAAATCGAATCCCGATCACTCCACGAAAAGAATCGAGACTAAAGACCTTTCCTCGATCCACCAGCCTGAGGCCTGCAAAAAGCATCTTTTTCGGCCTCTTGCCACTCTCTACTCAGCTAAGATTGACCATCAGCAATAAGGAAAATAAATGCAGAAGCAGCCTGCGAGCGAACCGGTAGGTACATTTTAGAACATGGCCCAAACACTGAAAAGGACTGAATCAGTTGCGGACACAGATGGTGCAACATCGTCTAGCTTTCGTAGGATCTTACTGAGTTTGAGGTCTGCAAGCCTGGAGTCTGCAGGCCTTCCAGGGGTATGTTTTAGCCATTGAAGCAGAAAGAACAACAGGAGTGAAAAGAAGGAAGAGAAGAACAAGACGCAGATAAGAACTGATACGGGTACCGTTGTTGTTACCAGTACTGAAATTAAGTTTTGAGAATTTTGTATCATTCTTATTGCTATTCTTTTCATCGTGAGCCTTCCTCTTATTAAGATTTTTAGTATTATCCTGGTTACTTGTTATCATTCTTTTTGTTCTTCGAATGTATCATGATGTTTTGATTCATTTTTTGCTTTTCATTGTTTTCATTGTTCCTACTAATACTGGTAGTGTCATGGCTCTCTTTAACCCTATTAGTATTCTTATTCTTCTGTCCTTAATGTGTCTTACTGTTTTAAGGTATGAGATCGATCAACCGCCATCGCGTAATGCGGGCTCGAGTTGAACCTATTCGCTCAGCCATCATCGTCTGATGAGGGGACCGAGTGCCGACTTCAGGACACGGGAACAACTGTCTACTGCCATTGTTTGATGAGGGCTGATGTGGGGTCAAGCAGTCTTTGTAATATCTGTAGTGTTTATGATATCTGTAGTATCCGTAGTGACTGAAGTATCTCGTTGCTGTGGAATAGGAATGTATGAATGAATAACTATCTAAGTAAATAAATCTCTCTCTCTATATATCTATGTATATGTATATGTGTATGAGAGATGACCTTGTATGCTCTATCTTGCCCTGTGTTTTTTCAGAGTACCAGTCACATGAATTAAGCAAATTAAAGTATTTGAATTGCAATCGTCTAAATAATCTTGAAAACGGCTTGCCCAGATTTTGTTTTTTTTTTTTTT